GAGAGAGAGAGAGAGAGAGAGAGAGAGAGAGAGAGAGAGAGAGAGAGAGAGCTATGTATATAGGGTAAAAGTCTATCGCTCTCTTTCAGTCTCTCTCTCCCACATCTCTCTCTCTATAGCTGATATACCCGTTGTGTATTCGGAAAATGGAAATATGTGGAGAGCACATTTAAAATGCGACAACAACAAATTGACAAATTTCAACAATTTCGCCGTTTGTTGCTCTACTTCTGCTACTTTTGCCTCTGCTTCGTCTTCTTTGCAATTGAATTGGTTTCATTTTTTTTTTTGGTATTTTGGCATTGTTGTTGGCCGCTTTGCGTTTGCTCATTTCTTTTATTATGGCTAAGTGAATGAATGCGTCCGATTTGCCTGCATATGTGGCAGCACTCCTATCCCTATGCCCACTCCCTGCTCCTGCTCCTGCTCCTACTTCCGCTCCTACTCCTGCCCACTTGAAATGCGGCATCTGACCGCCATTGTCCAGCTACGACGCCATGTGGAACTGCCTGACTCTGGCTGCAGAGGAGACCTGCTGGAAATCCATTCGAAAACCATTTTCATATTTGCGAACAGACGTTTGGCATTTGATGTGGCTCTGATTTTATTTGGGTTGCCCTTTTGCCAGCTCCTGCCCGTCGCCCCCGTCCGTCTGTCTGTCCGTCTGTCTGTCTGCTCGTCCTTCACTGTTGTTGGCTTGCTTTATTAGCCTGTTTTGTTGATGTTGCTGGTTACGAGCGATTTGGCAACATTTAAACGATTTTCAAGTGAGCCGCGCCGCTTGGCTTTCCTATTTTCTCTCTCCCTCTCTCTCTGTCTCTCCCTCGTCTGCTTCTTTCGCCAAGGGCTGCCAAGCACCGGAAAAGCTTACAGCGAGGGGCGAAGAGAGGGAGCACAACATACGATAACTGCTGTCAAATGGACTGTATACAAATCGTTTTCAGATCAAGTTTTTGGCCAAGCTGAAAGAAGTTTAACAAGTCCCAGAGATCACTGTATGTGTGTGTGTTTGTGTGTGCATCGAGTCAGATTGCAGCCAGGTAAATAATGCATGGGTGCAAGTGTGTGCCATAGTTGAATTTCATATTACATATTCAATTAAGAGCACACGCAGCCAGTGCATAATTGATGAACGTGGCCAAGCCAAGAATCACATCGCATCGCATCGAATCGAATCGAAGCGGGCTAAAAGACTATTTGATGCGTTTTGAAGAGCATATCAATGAGTGGGATTGTGAGCCAAATGCAATTACAATTTATCTAAGCAGAGAGAGAGAGAGAGAGAGAGAGAGAGAGAGAGAGAGAGAGAGAGGGGGGAGAGCTACAGAGTGCTTTACATAACTTAAGAAGCCAATGCAGCTCGTTGCCTGAGGTGCAGCTGAGTCGTATCTCTTGCTGTTGTTATATGTATATGTATATTCGATGCCTGAATGAATATATGAATCATTTGGCATTCACACTTGCCGCCATGGCAGCTAAGCCATTCATGAATTGATTCATTATGCACTGCAATATTTATAACAAATCCAATGACTCGACTGGAGCTGTGCGAACTCTATGGAGTTATTACTAAATGCTTGCTGCTTCAGTCAGACACCCACACGCACACACACACACACACACACACACACACACACACACACACACAAGCGGCTGTTCGCTTGCTACTTAACACTCGAGGCAAATTAGTTGCGCCGCAGCACAATTGCGACTATAAATCAACACATGGACAACAACAACAACAGCAGCAGCAGCAGCAGCGGCAACAACAACAACAACAAACAACACGCACTTTGCAACAGATTTTTTATGGTGCCCAAAAACGTGCGCCCTTGCGGATGTGAATGAGAATGCGGATATCAATGTGAATATGAATGTGAATGTGAATGTGAATGTGAATGAGAATGTGCTCAAAAGCATTTCAACAGTGTCTCCGTCTCCGTCTCCGTCTCCGTCTCCGTCTCGGTCTCGGTCACAGGCTCAGACTCAGATGCTGTCTTGCTCGAATCGAATCGAAGCGAATCGCATCGCTGATTCACCCTAAAATGCTGTGAGCATCCCCGCCCAATCGCCCGCTGCCCTTGGCTCAGCCGCGACCCTGTCGAATGCACAAAGCGCACGCACAATTGTGCAAATTGACAGATTTATAACAAAATGCAATGAATAACGGCATCGTTCGTTCGTTCGTTCAGTCACAAGGGTTGCTGCCGGCAGAAATCGATAGTTGAGCCAGAGAGCATATTGGCCGCATTGGACGGATTGCATCTTAGGCTGTAAGAGTTTTAATGCTGATATTGGGATTTCGATTTCAACAGGCGCCTTAATGGCCTCACTTGCCCACTCATAATCCCTGTGGCAGACCAAGAAAATGGGGGCATGTGTGTGTGTGCGAGTGTGCGAGTGTGTGTGCAAACAAGTTCCCACATAGCTGCCCGGAGAGATGATGCGGTCCGCATCCGAGTCCGAATCCGGCATTACCCCAGTTTCCATTGCACAGATGAATATACATATACATGTATATAAAAAATAAAAGTGAAGCTGAAGAAGAAGAGACAGAGAAAGAAAGAGAGAGAGAGAGAGAGAGAGAAAGAGAGGGAATCAAATCTATGAAGTTCAATCAGTTTTAATTGATTCATTTCGTGGGTATTGAAAGGGGGCAAACAGAGCAAGAACAAGGGCGAACGCAAGGGCAAGGGCGGGGGCGAGGGCGAGGGCGGGGGCGGGGTGCGGTGGCAAGCTGCCCGCTACAGATAATGACGATGTTGTCTGTTGCTGCCGCGCTGCCTGTTAATAAATTTATTATCTTGGGAATATCCGAGAGCGGCTAAAGCGACGCGTCGACTGCGACGTCGACGGCGACTGCAGCAGCGGTAGCGGAAATGCCTCGTTGATTTGAAATGGAGCCCTGGGTCTGGGCCAAGCCGCAAATTTATTATGATTAAAGTTGAAAAGTTGAAATTGATGCTGCAACAGTTAGAGCGACAACAACAACAACAACAACAGCAACAACAACAGCAACAAGGCTGAGCTGGCGAGCATAAAAAAATTGTATATACAAAAGATAAACAGAATTGGGACAGCAGTAGTTATAATAATGATAACGATAACGATTACGATAACGATCATCATGACGATAACAATGACGACGATGAGGAGCATAACCTCTAAGGCTGAGTCCCAAACGCTGCGAGAGCCGAGGCAGAGCTAAAACGTTTAGCAGGTGTCATTAGCGAAGGAGCAAAGCCTTACGAGTATATGCTGCTGCAGATCTTGGGAATTGACAGAGATTTTCAAGAGAGATTTTCACAGTTTATAGTATTTTATTTATGCATAGCAATTAATAAATCATGTGGAGTGAGTGCTAATGGAACTCTTTAGTACTGAGGCGGATATAAGAGACTCTGCTTTAGTGCATATGTATTTTAAATATACTTTATAGCACCATGCATAACCATTTATAGCGTAATATATAACTGTTCTTTGCAAGTTTTGGCAGATTTTTCTTATTAAATTTTACGTTTTTGCTTTCCATTTCGAAGAAGTTATGCTTTATTATTAATTTTTAATTTTATTATTATTTTTTTTTTAAGTTTAATGGAAGTTTATTTTTGTATTTTTTTTAAATTAATTTTCAATTTAAAGTTACATTTGGTTTATTCAATGTATTATTTTATTATTTACTTTATTTTATATCATTTAATTATTTTTTATTCATTTATTTTTTATGTATGATTTTTTTTATTTTTTTATTTATTTTCAAATTTAATTTTTTTTATTTAATTTTGTTTTGTTTTTTTTTTTTTTTTTTTTTTTTTTTTTTTTTTTTTTTTTTTTTTTTTTTTTTTGTTTTTTATCTATTATTTATAGATGGATTCTACAAAAATTGTAATGAAATTCGATATGAGTTCCATGAGCACAGCCAAAAGCATTGTTAAATGTAGTTGAGTGGACAGTAAGGAATGAACCAATCTCAAAATTTGCTTCCTCATCAATATAATCAACTTCTCTCTCTATGAGCCTACAGGTTAATATAATGAACTTTGAGGTTATTTCATAATTAATAAATAATAATTAGCCTCTTTGTCTTTGTATTATCATACAGATAAATCAGATATTTCATCAATATCCCATATATCTATCATTCACTCTAATATCATCCATATCAGATATATCGGCAATATCCCATACATTTATCCTTCATTCTGATGTCTTTCATGTATCATATCAATATCTCATATACATTCAGTCAAATAAGTATGTATCTATCCTTCACTTCAAGATCTTCAATATCAAATATATCATTAATATACCATACATCTATTGTTCAGTCTAATATCTTCAATATCAAATATATCATTACTATCCCATATTGATATTCCCATACATCTATACTTCATTTCAATATCTTCAATATCATTTTCGATTAATTTTTAATAAAGATATATCATATCATATCAAATGACAACATATTATATAATATCATATCAAATCTCTTACTTTACTCACCATAACAATGCTCCATTTCTTGCATATGTGACGCAGGGCCTTTTTGTAGCATCACGGTTTCATGGTCCAGAAGTTCTTTTTGGGTTTCGCGCCGGTGGCCACTGAGATGGCGCCGCCCGTTGCTGAGCCCGTGGCGGAGGCAATCGAACGGCCCGAGGACCGCTGCTGATCCGCCGAGCAGCGACGCGGATAATTGAAGGGCGACATCGAGCTGCCGCCTGACATCTCGCCCATGCCCATGGCCAGGCTCGAGTTCATGGGCGGCATGCCCATGCCCATGGCCATATTCATTGGGCACGGCATGCCCATGCCCATGTTCATGCCCATGCCCATGGGCAGGCCCATGCCGGCTATGCCCTGATCCTCGCCACAGCTGGCCATGCTGCTCTTCGAGGTGGAGGTGCCCGAGGCTGTCGAGGATCGGCAGCTGCGCAAGTTGTGCGGCAGTGTGCTGCTGTTACCGTTATTATTGTGGCCGTTGCAGTTGCTGTTGCAGTTGCTGTTGTTGTTGCTGTTGCTGTTGCAGTTGCTGCCGCTGCTGTTGCTGTGGTTCATCATTGTGGGATTGTGCCCATGGCTATGGCTGTGACTGTGACTATGGCTATGGCTATGGCTAGTGGGCGTGGCCGTCTTATAGTAGCGCAAACTCTCATTGTAGCTGGCGCCGCTGCTGCTGCCGCTGCCACTGAAGCCGCTGTCGAGGTCGCCCTCATCGAACTCCGGATTGATGCAGCTGCTGTGCGCATGATCCTTCAGCTCCATGCTGTTCAGCGTGCTCGACAAGTTCTCGAGGCTGGCGTGCGAGGCCGAGCTGGAGTTGGACGCGGCGCTGGCCGCGGCGCCGCCAAGCAGACCGCCGCGACGCGGCCGCTGCCCGGTACTCAGCACATTCTTGCCTTGCACGGAGGAGGACGATGAGGAGGAGTTGCCAACGGCGCCACTGCCGCTGCCGCTGCCGCTGCCACTGCTGCAGCTGGTGCTGGTGGCCGGCGCCTCATGCTGTACATCGTTCGAGCTGGCGCTGGCCGGGCCGCCGTGACTGGGACTGATGTCGGGCGGCGTGGGCGGCATTATGAGCGCCTCCAGCGACAGATTTAGCTCGTCCAGCACACGGAAATGATTGTGCTGGACGCGACGCAGCTCCTCCTTGACGTTGCCCACACTGGAGGTGGCAATGCGATTGTCGGAGAGCACTTTGCGTATCTTCTGATCGCTAACCTCCTCGTACAGGTTCTCGGTGGTGCCGTAGCGTGTGGTGTACGTGTGCCTGTCCCGCTCCTCGGCGCTGGGCGACGACGACGTGGACTGCCCGCTGTGCGACGATGACTTCGAGCGGAAGCTCTTCGCCAGCAGCGCCCGGATCGAGTTGCGCGGCGGACTCTTCGACGGCGCGTGATGGTGGTGTCCATTGCCCTGGCCCTGGGCGGGCACGTTCGTATGGCATTTGGCGGCGCCGGGCTCGTAATAGGCATAGGAGTAGACGTGATTGAATGGCGCCGCGGCTGCCGCTCCAGCTGAGCCACTGGGGCCCATGGCTCCAGCACTTGGGCCACCCACACCACCCGCAACTCCAGCACCACCGGCACCACTGCCGCCATTGTAGGCCACATGCAGCGAGGCCGTGGACGACATGCCGGCCGCTGAACCAGCCCCGTGCGAGGGCGTGGCACTGCTGCTGCCGGGCGTCATGACGCCAGCGGCGAAGCCATAATCCAGCGACGAGGTGGACGACGACGACTGCGCCGTGGCGGTGGGCTCGAAGCGCTCCATGGTGGCAGCGATGTTCTTGCGTGACCATTTGACCTGCGAATTATCGAAGCGCATGATTAACTATCGGTCGAGTTGCTCTCCAAAAGCTCAGCGATACGCGAGCCGTAATTAATGATGTGCATACTTTCTGCGGGCAGTGTAAAAGTGTAAAGGTGTTTAATGTGCCTAAATTTGGCAGCCCTCGCACTCATATTTCTCGAAATAAATTTACCAAACAAGAATTTAAATTTAAATAATAAATAAATTATTACTAATAAATATATCATATAAGAGATATACTTTTTCATTGTTATTTTTAAACTAATTTTAAAATATTTTCTTGAATATAAAAAAGATAAAAAAAAACAGAAATTTTGTATTATAATTTAAAATAATTAAAATGATAATACAAATAAAGAGCAATATTTTAAACATTTTATAGTTTTATGCAAATTAAAAAAAAATAACAAAAATTTTATTTATTTTAAATTAGAATACATCTTTTTTTTTAATATTTTAATATTTATATATTCGTTGTGTTTAAAGTATTTTTTTTTTTTTTTTTTTTTTTTTTTTTTTTTTTTTTTTTTTTTTTTTTTT